TTGTATGAGTGTAATTTATGTGAATGTTAATCGACCCCAATGAAGGTAAATATTTAACATGATTGCATTCCTATTTGTGATAGTAAATACGTGACAATTATTCAATAGAACATGTGAATTTTAAATCGGCTCAGAAGAAAATTTATTATTTGATATATTTTTATAATCTGTATTTGATTACTATTAAAATGTACCACTTACAAATTAATATTCTGTCCAAAGATATAATGTTAACAGAGTGCTCGGTATCTTGAGATGAGATATACCTTTATTTAAAATTAATTTGTTTTATGTGAGTATTGATTAATTAACTTGTTTTTGTATGTTATCTGTTCAATTTCTTTACTGCTGGGAGTATCACCATGAATGTGAATTTCATCACAGTGATGAACGACACAAACTTCAAGCAATGGAAGAATAGTCTTTGACTTGTGCTTAGAGTTATGGATCTAAATTGGGCTTTACAGGTTGATCAATATGATCATATTACTCCTGACAATATTCTTGAGGAAAATAAAAAGTTTAAAAGATGGGATCGATCAAACTATATTAGTATGTTGGTTATGGAACAAGTCATTTCAAAAGTTTTTCGAGACATTATGTCCGATGAGATCAAACAGCTAGAGATTTTCTTTATTTTCTAAAACAACATTTCGTTATAAATAATAAGGCCGAGACATGTACATTTCTGTCAATTCTTGTTTCCACGAGGTATAAATGAAATAAAAACATCACAGAACATATAATGAAAATGTCACATGTGCATGCAAAACTCAAGGCACTTAGAGTGAATATGTCAAAAGAAGTACTTGTGTACTTTGTTTTGATTTCTGTTCCACCATAGTTCAAGCATTTCAAGGTGACATATAACTGTCAGAAGGAATCTTGAAATCTGAATGAGCTCATTTCACACTGTGTCCAATAGGAGAAAAAGCTCAAATCTGAGATGATAAAAAGTGCTCATTTGGCAGTGATATCAAAAAATAAGAAGAAAAAGAAAAAGAAAACAGGTTAATAAGATCCTGTTTGACACAAATCATCTAGCCTTAAGAGCCATATGAAGAATCTCATAGAAGCATGAATAATGGACCTCTTGGTCATCATTGTGGATGTATTCATTCTGTTTTCTCTAAAGGATTCACGCAGTCGTAGCAAAATAGGCCAATTAACAATCTCATGAATATTTATTTCATTTTTTAATTTAATTTTTGATTTGGTCAACATAATTTTTTAAAAATTAATTATTTCATCGATTTTAATTCGATTCAAACTCTTTTTTTAATTCGATTATCACTAAATTTAACTAACAGTTGTGTTTAAAATAACTATAAATGATATGATAGTAGTACTATATATATATAATATATATATATATATATATTTAGATATATTAATTTACTTGCAGTCTTATTTTTATATCACTTTCATGAATTACTTTTATTTTTAATCGTTTGCATACTTGTTTTGAATTTGATTACATAGGTGCTAGTGTTTTTATTCACTATTCGTCTCAAACTTTATTCAATAATTTTAAAAATAAGTGTTATTTAAAAACAATGTTTATGTTAATAATAAAAAAACTATTTTTTTTGGAAGATATTATTTTGTAAAAATTGAAATTAAATAGTTGAAAATAGGAGGCATATTTCTTTCTCTACTAAGATGGTTTTGTTACTATTATTTTCTCAATTAAGACATTCATCTAATTTTCATATTGATTTATTCTTCAATTAAGGCCCATTTTCTCATGGGCCCCAAGTTTTTATGCTGACAACAGTTTGTGTTTCCTTCTGCAACGGAAGTTGCCAAACGGTCAGCTTTCTGATCTCTGACTCGAACTCGCCCGCTAAAGCCACTCAGCACGGCCATGGAACCGGACTCTACTGAACCCCAAACGGAAACCGCCGCCATCTCAGCCAACGCCACGACGGACCCACTGACTAGCCAGTTCGGTTCCCTCAACGACGTGACCCACGAGCTTGACACACTCCAGGACCTAGCCACCCGCGGCTCCTGGCTCACCATCCTTGAAAAGGTCACTCAAGCTCTCTCCCTCTCCGTCCTTTCCAAGCCCCATGACCGCCTCACCTACATCAGCTTCAAGATCCTTGCTCTCTCAAAATTATGCCGTTTCGCCGAGGCATCCCAAGAGCTCGATTCCCTCCACGACTTTGGTAGCTCCCAGTATCAGTACCAATCATATCCGGAGATTTACCCGAGCCGGACCGGCTCCATGGTTCCCTTCACTCTTCGGTGGCTCTACGCCTTGATCCCGATAAAGCTCGGCAATCGGCAAGAAGGATTGGATCGCCTTTACACTTTGCTTGATTTCGTGCGAGAGAAGATTAAAGAGAAAGAATCGAAAAATTTAGACGTTTCCGTCAATGTGTGGGAGAGAAGGGAAGTTTTCGTTATGCATTGCTTAACGGGGTTTCATTTGGGTCAAAAGGAGTTTGGAGTATGCTTAAATTTGATTAAAGAGTTGATTAGCCGAGATTTATCAGACCCAGTTATGATTTCCAAACTTGGGTATATACAGATGCAGATTGGTGATTTAGAGGGAGCCAAGAGCTCCTTCGGTCGAGTTGAGAAGATGTTAAGCGAAGGGAATGGTAATGGGTTGTTGAGTGAGGTGGAGTTTAGGAACCTTGTGAATAGGAACAAGGCATTGGTGTATTTGGTAGGGAAGGATTATGTGTCTGCTGTGAGGGAGTATGATGAATGTATTGAGAGAGATTATGCAGACGTTATTGCCATCAACAACAAGGCTCTTTGCTTGATGTATCTGAGGGATTTATCGGATTCGATAAAGGTACTGGAGAATGCTTTGGAGAGAGTCCCTACGATGGCTTTGAATGAGACCCTGGTTATCAATTTGTGTAGTATGTATGAATTGGCTTATGTTAATCACGTAGATATTAAGAAGACCTTGAGCAATTGGATTGCTCGGGTTGCTCCGGATGATTTTGATTCCTCTTGCACCAGGCTATGAGGTATCGTCTTCGACTCACGTTTGTTTGGTCAATTTTTGTGCATATTGTTCTTACGCATAAGATATCTTATTACGAAACATAAGTTTAGAAGCCTGACAAAAATGATAACTGTGTGAAAGTCTAAGATATGGGATATTTTGATCTGTCTATTTCTTAAAAGTTTGAAACGTTTAAGCATAGTCAGGCCTAGCTGTAACCGATAGTTTTTGCAAAGAAGTTAATATCAGCTGTGTATATGTTTGGTACCTTATACTCCTGCCGTTAAGTAGGATTTATCTATCCTTCTCACTTATTGAATAAATTATCATTGCAAATGCCAATTATTGGCATAAATGTTAATTTGATGTCTTCTCCAGTTTGATGGTTAAACAATTATTTCACATTTTCTTAACTAGGATTGATATCAATATCTATCATATTGTTTGATAGGGCAAGTTTGCGAAGTTTTCTGATTCTATTTTGTTATGTTGGAATTCCTGATCACATGAATTCACTTGTCTTGTTGGGATGAAATAGCTATTACCCTTGCCTTCAAATATTCATTTGAAAAAGAAAAAACCATAGGAGTCATTAGTTCCGGGAATAAATTTGGAATTGTTCAGATTGACCATCTAGCAAACTCAAGCTGAGGAATGCTGAAGTTTATTGTCAATGTTCATTACCCTAAATGGGGGAAAAGCAAAACCAAAACGAAATGAACTTTGTATGTGTGTATAGTATGATGTATGAAGATTCTCCTATTCAAGGCTACATCATCAACTCCATTGTTGTCTTTGGTCTTGCTAAATTAGCACTGATACTGCTTCGATACTGGTACTGCATTGTTGGTTTTACAAACAACAATTATCACATGCTGAAGCAGTTCATAGTCCTTGATCTTTTCGTTTGTTATCCCTTGTCAGGAACCTTTGATATATAATTGAGATTGCAAAAGATTAGAGAGAGAAATTGAAAATTGCAGAAGAATTTTAAGAGAAAGTAAGCAGAAGAATTTTGAGAGAAAGTAAGCAGAAGAACAGAGATGAGGAAGGAAGAAATAAGAACAGAAAGAGGAAAAATCAGTGCTGACTCACTATTATATTGGTAATAATTGAAATTCAGACTTAGCACTTGCAATTTCCCCATTGATTCATATATTGCTTCCTCCACTAATTTTGGAAACAAGAAACAATGCATAACAGAAAAAGAGAATGGAGATGGAATCTTCTCGAGTAACATAAAAGGGAAAAAAAAATTATAGCCCCTTAATTCATATAAACTGCATTATTAGAGGTTTTAGCTCAAACTATGACAGCTCAGAGTTCTCCTTGTGCTTCTCGTGCCACATCTATTTTTCTGGACAACAGCTTCAATAGAGTAACTGGACTTGACAATCTCTCTCGAAAATTTTCCTTCTCCCTGAGGAAAGAATCTGAAAAGTGAGAGCATAGTGTCCTCCCTGGTTACTTCATCTGGAGATAGGTTATCCACTGCACCAGCTTTTGCCATTTCTGCAGCTTCATTTTGGTTGCAAGCATATGGGTTTATGAAGAGATCTTTTCCATGTGCTTTTTCAATTATCTGAACCTCAAGACCATATCCTATTCCTTTCTCTTTTAGAGTTTCTTTTAATTTCTATAAAAAATGTCCTACATTTGGAAAGTTTTGCACCCCAGAGAATCCAAGAGGGTCTAACTGCTTCAAAAAATAGTCCATATGACAAGAACTTGTACCCCGTTCACCAATGACTGGATTTGCCTATTTCATTAGACTCCACTTGATAAGTTTAAGCAGCAATGATTTATAAAGGTGATATATAATGTATACCCAAGTGTCCCTTGGTAAAGCACTACGACTGTTGCATCCCAAATTTAATTGCTTTTTAAGAGAACAATCTCCTTTCAAGAATAGGTCTTGATTTTAATTGAATTTTTAATCCAGCTCATGGTCGCTGGTTCCAAGATGTCACGCAATGGCACAATCTTGCCTCAAATTACACAGTCTCAGGCAATTTTGGTTGAGGAATTTTGAGAAACACCTGATTCTCATTCATCAAACCACCTTTCTTCTCAGCTAGTTTTACAGGCTTGACCTTTCTACTCAATTTCATCAACCTTCTCAACCATCACAGGTTTTACAACCTCCACTATACCCGTCAAACCAGATTAAGTTTTCCACATAAATTGATCATATATTCTACAACACATTCTTTGATAAAATTTTTGTGCACATATAATGCATATCTCTCCAACTGTAAGTCTTCCTCTATCAATATCCTAACTCCTTCAAGAGTTGAGATAATCTACATGTTCTAAAAGGTAGGTAATATGAGATTGTCCAGCTTTTTTAATTGTAAGAATTGAAGTGACTGGAGCAGCTTGATTCGAAAATTTTGACCTCGTAACAACATTAAGAAGCTGGCTGGGAGCAGAAAATGACAGTAGTTGCTGAAATAGGAAGATAAAGCGAAAAGCATGAACTGTTAATATTGGATTTTTCTCAAACATCTGGTGTGCATACTTCTCCAATTTATTTTCAACTGTACTTTCATTTTTTATATGGTTGACCACAATTTTCCTTTTTACTTTAGCATGTCCGTCCTCCATAGAAGTCCCCACAAAGCCTAAGAAAGTTTTCCTTTCTTACAAAGACATCACCACAATCATTTCCTGGGTTTCCATGGTCTCTGTAATCATCCACATTTTTACTTTTTTTGCTTTGTTGATATACCTTCAACATATCCACAATTAGATAGAGGAGATACCTTAAGGGGAGAGTTTGGAGCTCAATTCATGGCTCATCAAATTTTTTTGTCGGCTGTTGTTGGCTGTCTTGGGCAGAAGCTTAATGTTCAAGCTGGTATTTATGCTAAGGGTATTAATATTCATTTTGGAATTTCAGAAGATTGATAGATTATAATATGATTGAGTTTGAACTCCAAGCAAAGGAAGAATCAAAGAGAGAAGGAGTACAACAGAAGAGGGAATAGAGAGCATTGTCGAGAAGTAGGCTTTGGTTCCAAGATTATAAAAGATTAGTGAGAGAATTTGAGAATGCGGGGGAATTTTGAGAGAAAGTAAGCAGAAGAACTGAGATGACTTAGGAAGAAATACGAAAGGTAGAGGGACAAAATCGGCGCTGATTCCGTAGTTTAACGATAATAATTGGAATTCAGACTTACCACTTACAATTTCCCTATCGATTCATATATGCTACCTCGACTAATTTCAAAAACAAGAAATAATGCATAACATAAAAAGAGAATGGAGATGGAATCTTCTCAAGTAACATATAAAGGAAAAATGAATATAATCTCTTAATTCAGATTAAACCAGATTACTAGGGGTTGTAGCTCAAAATGTGATGCCTCAGACCTCTCCTTGTGCTTCTCTTGCCATGTCTGTTTTTTTGCACATTCAGCAGCTTTGATAGAGTAATTGGACCAGACAAACATCTTGGATTTGTTACTCCTCGGTTTTCATATTAGGCTAGGTATTTTTTAGTCACTTGGAACCTTGATCAGAACTCAAGGTAAAGATAAACAATTTTCCTGGGAATATTTTGGCTTGGGTACTTATGCATTTGCTTACTGTCATTTATTTGTGCAAGTAGATTGTTAGGGTCCCTTAGTAGAATATAATTATGAGTTTTTATTAATATTATGAATTTGTAAAAAGAGAACCCAATTCTCTCATAGAGTTTAAAATATTCAAAAAAAAATTTCTAACAAGTTTGTCTTGATAAAACTGAACAGCAACAGCAAAGAGTTTTTTTCCATCATGAAGAAGAAGCACTTAGAAGCCATTACCCTGGAAGCTAATTCCAGGCAACCAACTCTCTGTTTTCTCTATTTAATAAATCCATACATAATACAACACAAACAAACACTGCACATGCATTGCACATGCACCTATCTTTTAATTAACACGACCGAAATACCTATAAGATGCATGCTGAAACACAAACACCATAAGGTACGTGTGTATAATATATATATATATATATATATATCTGCATGTGTATCTTATCTTTTTTGCGCACAGAAAAACAGGAGGAAATAATTGTTGTATCTGTAGAATTTCCTATTTGGTATGTGTTAGCCCCACTCCTCTGCCTAACCCACCATGGGCTTCTACATGACTGAAATAATTGATAGCAATGTGGTTGATATGTATTATTCTTCTTATTTACAGAAGTGAATATAACTGTTTTTGGATTCTCTTGAAGGAATTGTTGTGCATTAATGTTTGAAATTCTTTTAGGATTTGCTCTTTCATTTTAGTGTTCCTCTTAATGAATTCAACTTTGAATAAACCCAGAGCAAGTTTAATTTGGTGCCAGATAAACATAATACTTTATTTGACAAAGAAAAGCCACAAAGAGTGTTTTCGCTCATTTTAGCTTGTAAGTTAATGGCTTATAAGCTGAGAAAAAAGGCTATAAGAATCTAGTCTTCTTCTTGGCTTACAAGTCACCAAAAAAAAAAAAAAGAATAGAAGCCATAATGAATGGTTAAGCATCTCAAATATCTGGAGGGATATGTAGTTACATCCCTAGATATGCAATAGAAGTTTAGAAGCTTTTATTGCCTTGGAATCATGGATTTGAAATCTAGATTGATTTCAGGTTAAGACGAATGAACTAGTAGCAGCTGTGTTATTTCCATTTATTTATTTGTACTTTTTAATAATTATTTTTGCAATTTCATCGCGCAGTTTGTATTTCTTGCAAGAATCATGGTGAAAAAGATAATTGTGGTTCTCCAGATGATGCAAACTACGCTGTTCGGCTAAAAGTGTGGTGCCTACTGAGGAGGATCGATGCGGGAATGCCTTGGGATTCCCTTTTAACCTTGATAATGTAATTATGTCCGTTCAAATTGTAGCAACAAGGTCCAAAGGTATGAGGCTGGGCTCTGGATACACAAACATGCACATCTCTCCATTATAACTCAGTTGTCTTTCTCTTGACATTTGATAAAAGGAATACTTGATTTAATTTTTGAAAAAAAATTCAACAATATGGTTTAGTGTATGGAAATAATTTTTTTTTATTATATATACATATGAATATATGATTATTAGAAAATGAAATATTATACTTAAAAAGTGATTGTGGAGATGAGTAGTTTAAAAAAAAAAAAAAAGAAGCTAAAAAGATTAAACATTTCATTTGGTATAATATTAGAAAATATTTTGTCCTAAATGTAATCACTTTCAAGGGGGTGGGTGGGTTAACTGAATTGAGGAGGTTGTAGTAGTAGGTTTTGTAGAATTGGGTCCACCCCAGCTTCACCAACACTCCAAAAGTCAATCATCTACCGTCTGTTTCATGATCCACAACTTCAGATTGTGAATTGACGGTCCAGATGCAACTTTGCATATCAAACCATCAACTCTCGAGGAGTCAAAAGGCAAAAATACCCGAGTGAAAAATATATTTTATTATATATCTATGCAAATACATATAGTAATAATTAAAAAGAAAATAATATTTAGATAATAAGATTTAAAATTATATTTAATATAATACATAATCATAGGAACATATATTTTATGTGCACATATAAATAAGCTAATGAAATAAATTAAAAATATCTTTACCACTAAATGGGGCTCATTTTTTTTCATGTGGTTTAGGGAATCATTAAAATTTTCTTCTTAGGAAATTTAAAAAGTGTAATATGATAAATACTTCGAAATTTCAAACAGTGACGTACAGATTTGTATATAAATCCCTGTTCTTTACCCTTCATCCTCCGATTGAAAGCAGCCAACGACCAGACTTAAGTTTCAATTCCTTTTTTCTACTTTTCTCACCAACCCCCACGTTTTCCTCTGTCTTTAAAAATATTTTGTTTTCTTCGGAGTGCGTGAATTGGAGTCCACTCGAGAAATTGGATCCCACCTAATTCTAATTCTCTCTTACCCAAATGGCAACCTACCTCCAAAGCCCTGCAACTACTGCTGTTCTTCGTATCAGACGCAGATTTGCTGGACTTGGTCCGGGTTCTGAAAGCTCCGGATCCATTTCCTTCCATTCTCACCAATCTCACGGTCTTTCACTCAAGTATAGCTTTTGCTCTCTCTTCTCCCTTTCTAAACGTTTTTGTTTGTGTAACTATTCTGGTTACTCGAATGCTGTATGATTTACTGCTAGTTCGAATATTTGAAGAAACGGCGAAGAATTT